CCCCAAAACCCCAAAACCCCAAAACCCCAAAACCCCAAAACCCCATTTAAATTAGCAAAATTTGATTTAATTATATAATTTTGAATGGAAAAGGGAGACAAAAGAGGACCACAGTTCGAAAATGATATCTTTGATATAGCTGTTAAGTCTATGGAAGAGAACAAAGGGGATACACCTTCAGAGAGAATAGCAATAGTTATTGGAGAGAAGGGAAGTGGAAAATCATCCCTCATTGCTGCAATGGTTGGAGAAGACCCTAAAGCAGAAAGAAAGCCAACAGCAGGCATGGATTATAAATTCTCTACTAAAAAGATTGAATCTAAAAGGGTTGTAGGACACTACCATGAAATTGGAGGAGGAAGATTACTTTCAGATCTATTGAAGACAGCACTTTATCCCAAGAAGATTCAAGATATTGTTTTAATTATTACAATCGATATGTCCCAACCTGATACTGCACTTCACCATCTAAATTACTGGTTAAGAAAAGCATCTGAGGATGTAAATACAGTTTTAGAAGAAATTGATGCTACTGATCCTAGCCTTTCTAGCGAAGTTAGAAGCAGAAGCGCTTTTCAATGGGAAGGCCATTCAGATGCTAAAAGAGTTTCGCCAATCGGAATTCCAACCATTATTGTAGGCACAAAGTACGATGTATTTGGTATTCAAGAATCTGAAAATAAGAAATGGCTTTGTAGAGGAATGAGATTCAATGCTCACGTTAATGGGTGAGATCTTACATTCTGAAGTTACAGAGACAAAGATTTTGATCCTCTAAAGGCCTTGATTAGCAGACAAGTTTATGGATCTACAAAAGTTCCGAAAATGCAAGCAGATCATGGAAAAATACTCTCTATTGTATCTGGACAAGATAAACTAACTGCCATCGGAGATCCTCCAATTCCCGGAGAGATGTCAATGGATCAAGCATGGATAATGAGTGTGGAATCATATTTTCCTCTGAAAAACCCAATCACAGAAGAAGAGCAAGATAACGATCTTGGAGATATGTCCAAATACAATGAGCCAAAAGTGGATGCTATGAAGGCTCAAAAAGATGAGGAAATAACTAGAAATAAACCTTCTATTCAGCTCAAAGGAAAGAAGCCTCGTAAGGTAGTCAAAAGAGTTGAAGTTGAATAGAACAAATTCAATTAATCCGTTCAAAATAGGGGTTTTGGGGTTTTGGGGTTTTGGGGTTTTGGGGG